GTGTGTGTGTGTGTCTGTCTCTCTCTCTCTTTACGTTTACTTTTTCATGATATGTCTCATGATAACACAACATTTTTTATGCTAGGCAATCAGAATTCTGTCATGGATGATTATTTAGTTCATTTCCAAGGGACTTTGCATCAATACGGGCGATTTGAAGAGAAACAGACGATGGTGAAAAAAAAAAAAAAAAAAAAAAAAAAGAAAACTGATCTCTTTTCGATAGGTCTCTTTCAATTCAAAGATTGTCACGAAGAAGCGGACGATTGCATATATGTGATGGACCATGCGCAGTATCAGACTTAGGCTCATTGACTTAGATTTCTATATTCGTTGAAACAATACTGATGTGATCTGCGTGTAAAACCCGTAGGCAGAAAATGGTAAACTGGTACAAAAGCCTCGGAGAAGATGAGCTCTCATGGGCAAAGTCAATCAATTTTACTATTATTGGACTTTTCTACCTATTGTGTATACATAGTCAGTCGTAGGTTACCAGGCTTTACACTTGACATTATTCAAGGAATCTGAGGCAGGGGCGTCATTTCGGCTTCTGCTGAGTGGGTGGGGGGGGGGGAGTCGGTGAGCGAAGTGAGCACAATTAGCTGGGATATTATTTTTTTAGGGGGGGGCTATAAACTAAAAACAAAGACTATAAACAAAATCCTATTGCTTTAATGATAATTCTATATTGACTAAATATTATGGTGTATTTTAAATTTCTATGTATAACATTTTTCTGGATGATATATAAAAACATATTCATATGCTGCTGTTATATTTCTACTAAAACAAACTACAGTACAGTTTTATTGAAAAAAAGAGCGAGTATCGTGGTATTGGTGATACTGCTGTGATCCCAATACATACATGTTCAGAAGCAGCATCTGTTCTTCAACCTTCCGGTTAAGAGGTAAATCTATTATTACTTTATATAAATATACAGTATTAAGATATATACAAATCCATGATAGCCAGTTGTTGTGTTTGTAATCAAATTCAATTAGCTCTAAAAGTGGTTGGGATGTGGCCCTTGGGGGGGGGGAGTGGCAAAGCAGACCTTGAGGGGGGCATCTATCCCCCCCCCCACCCCATTGACGCCCCTGATTAGAGGTAGCCGGTTTAAAAGATTATATGGAATGAAGCTATGACCATTAATCTCAGTCCCTTAAAAGAATGAGGATTGTAAACATGAGAATGGAAATTAGTGAATGACAATACGCTCATACTCAAAATCACGGCTACAAGTAAGATACAAGTACATACCCCAGTGAAAAAAATATCCCTTAGTAAGACCCTACCCCCCCCACCCCCCACGACAGTCCACTCTGCAATACTTAGGAAGTACATCCTTATAGTTATCAATGAGCATCTTGAAATTGGCAATGATGTATATGAATGCAACGCTTTACAGGTCCTTACAATCTGGGGACAAATCAGGATGCACTTGTGTATAAAAAACACTATTTTGCAGCACCACTGGAGGGTTCATGGCTGGGTAAGAATACGCTGACTTAGACCTGTGCAGTATCCTAAATACGTGTTATAATAATAATAATAGTAATAATAATAATAATAATAATAACGACGATGACGATGATGATAATGATAATAAGAATAACAAACGAAATGAAAATAAAGATAATAGCAGTAATGCAGATTTCAACAAAAAATAATAGATACACATAAATAAAAATACTACTAACCATAATTATGAATATCTTCAATAGCTTTGCCATTATAAATACAGTGTATTATGGCAGCAGTGATATGATAATGATAATTTTGATGATGACTAATGATCATTATAAGTATAATGAGTAGCAATAATATTGAATGACAAAATACGAATTATAATGAAGATGGCAACAGTAACAATAATGTTGATAAAAGATAATATATAATAAGGATAGGTAATAAGTCATCGTGACAAGAAAATAACAATTTGTCTTTTTAAAAAATAATGTTTATAGGATTTGTATACGCAAGTCTACAGTTATGAAATATAATATAATACGTTTATAGGTTGTACAAGAGATTAATTTTGTATCTTAAACTTTTAACAACTATTTTGAATACAATTTTTAACAAATGAGTCACAGAATATACACAACAGAGATGAGAATGCATTTAATTGTGCTAACGTCACTTAGCTGAGACCTCGAGTAAACATAAAAAAATTAGCATTCGGTTTGCAAAATAACTTCATGTTTTCTCATTTTCATCAATGCATTTACTGTAACTAAAACCGTTTAACCATACCGCTTATTTTCTATAGGCCATTTTTTACAAATAAAACTTTTCTTCTTCTGTCCAACCATATTTATAACATTTTAATAATTGATCTGATTTTACTGTGTGCACTTTCATATTTCTTCCTGCCCACTCTTTCAACAGATTATATATACGAATAGGTATCAACGGAAATACTTCAGGTGTGCATATACCATACTTCCCGATACTGGTTTATAATAATAACAACAATGGATAAAAACAGACAACAAAGGTAATAATAATATCAACTAACATCCGACAAAAAAGGTTAACGGTTGTATTGATGATGGTACAATAATAGAAATGATTACGGTTGTGATATTATTTATTCCTCTAAGGAATTAATGTTACAGAGGGTATGTATGTAGATGTTGGAATAAAGTGTCAGTTACTTAAGCAATAAGCACTAGTAGGTTACACACAAACACAGACACAGACATAAAAAGAAATTCCAGATTTTTCTCTCTTCTTTCCGTATGTTTCTATCATTTTTATCATACTTCTCCCTCATTCTCTCTCTGCTTCTTTATTTTTTCCGTTCTCGTGTATATCTTTGCATTTATTGTTTTCGTATTTGCAGTATATCTTATTTCAGCTTGTAAGAAGTGATTTAGCAAAGTAACTTCATGTCAGTTTTCAATCCTAATGTAGTTTGTCGAACAGACAAACGATTACTCTTTCTCTCTCTCTCTCTCTCTATCTATCTATATATCTATCTAAATTGCAGTATCTACTCGTATTAATATTTATAAATATATAACTGCGTCTGATAACTCCTTAATTATCGCCTGAGTCTGGAATGAACCTCCTCATGTTGGACATGAGGTCCACATGGGTGAGAGGACCTCCGTTTACTGGCTCCTCGTCGTTGGCATGTGCAGCGTGGCTCAACCTGCGGAGGGAAATGTGAACTAGAAAAGAGTAGTGTAAACTCCTGAAGTGATGATAACTTTTAAAATATTTTCAGCTTGCATTTCTGTAAGCAACATATGAAATTTAACACCGTGTTCATTAATATCTTTCCCCTACATTCCTCTCATATGACAGAAAGACCGAGTTTTCAGTTAATGATGATGATGATTCAGTTATGATCGTTATTTTTTTTTTCGCAACGTTTCTCTCACAACAAGAAACCTCAAAACAAATAACTCACTGGGGTTTCCCAATGGGCAGGACGAGGCGCGTGGAGGAGGCCGACGAAGACCTCCCTTCGGATCCATCGTCGTGTGGGAGGTCGTCCCCGAACCCTGATCCTGGACCCAGCTCCTCCGCCAGCAGGAACTGTCTCAACTGCAGGACTTCGTGGACACGTTGTTCTACCACGGACAGGTAGACGGACACAGACGCACTGGTGATTTCTCCTCCACCTTGGGATGTGACACGGATGTAATTTTTGGGAATGTTTGCTGGGCTGACTTTTAGATTTAGTGTATTGTAGGTGGCAGTTTACATGTGATGTAGTAGTGATCTTGGGAATTATGTTTTGATTTTGGGAGCAACTGAATGGTCATGTGGTGGCAGTTTTCGAAGTGACCGTAATGCCTTTCATTTAAGAGGAAAAGATCTTCAAAGTAACCGTAATGTTGATGATTACGTTGTTGGGGATACGAGGGATAGTGAATGTTTTCGTAATTGCAGAAACATCTTTCATGTTAGTGTTTACGCTGGAGTAATTTTTGAAGTAATTTAATGTGTCGTTAATCAGACAGTAGTTATTATCAGTTGTAATTATCAAAGTGGTGGTTTTGTGGTAGTAAATTTATAGTGAATATGGTGATCATTATCTGGGTGGGGTTGATAATCTGGGGTCCACGGATGAGTTTCAGGGGGTCCGTAACGGTCAGATATAAAAACATTTATATTAGTGTGTTTATACATACATGTATACATACATACATACATACATACATACATACATACATATATATATATATATATATATATATATATATATATATTTATATTTATTTATTTATTCTAAAGTTTAATAATACTGTGTATCTCATTTATGTACGAGACAAACAAGTTTATATAAATAAACTACATTATACACATTACACACAAAGCTGTGATTGTGTAAATATTTCTGATAAAGGGGGTCCATAGCTTTCATCAGATTCTCAAAGGGGTCCGTGAATCATAGAAGGTTAAGAACCACTAATTTAGGTGACGAATGTTTAGCAGCAATAACTGTTAACCATGTTGTTAAAAGTAACACTAATTATATCGTGTTCATTATAGCTACTATCCCGTACTAAACATTTACCTGCACAGTAATATTACTGGTGCAAATGTTTGATTATATCATGTAATTGCAATGGCATTCTTAATCTTAAAAGTATGTACCATGGTCCAACATTATGCAAATACAATGATAATGCTAATCATAATAGTGATACAGTTATCGCAGTGACATTACTGATTCCTTTTCAATTGTACAATGACTGCCTAATAATGATGATATTTATTAGGTTACTTCACACTTGTTTAATTCTACACGCTAATCAATAATCTACTGTTTACAACTGTCCATTACTGATTATATGAGTTGTAATATCTCAGTAATGTTAATAAATATCCAGTGATTAGGATGCATCCATGGTTAAAAATATACTAATCTACCTCAAATCATTAACAATACACCTTTAATAATCATCCATCTACATCCACTTATTCACAGACTACCCCTAGCAATCAAACACCTACCTCTTTTCCACCACTCATCC